AATCCGTGCGAAAGCAGCTACGTGATCAAGTGAATCGTCGACCGTAGGAAAAAATTTTACCGCGCAGGCCACCTTCAACAGTTAGTGCAGCCCACTTCGTCCAAAAAGGTCGAGCTGAACCTCATGCAATAGAGCTGGATGGCTCTCCCCTTGCACTGGTGTAGCCAGACATTGCTCCTTCTAACTGCTAGTTGCCTCCCGTACTTAACCGTTATATGGACGAGAAAACCTCCACGACCTGAGCCCAAGTCAAAGTTGAGATGATGTCCAACTTTGCGTCGCCCCAGTCTGCATTGTCAGGCGATGTCATCTATGAGGTGCTCAAAATTTGGCAAGAACTTCGCAGTAACATTGCTGTATAATTTTGATCTTGTACGCCTCTCTATAAAAAAAAGCCTAGTTTGAAAAAATGTGACAGAACTTTCCCGCCAACCTAATACAACAGAACGGAACGAACAGGCAGTTTGTCCTGACTGACGAGCAAGATACTAAAAACAGGCTCTAAACTGCCTGTCCGCATCCTTTTTCAAAACTGGCTCTGAATTGTCCATCCGCATCATTTTTTAAAAATGGGCGGGGCTTCCTGCAGCAGCCCAAAAATGTGAAAATTCTGAAAAAAGATTAAAATTCAGCATAAGGATGCAAAATGGTCGTGGCCAAAGGGCAGGACCTAATGTCGGTGCACAAATGCGCGTCTTCCATTCTGTAAAGAGAGGTTGTGAAATTGACAGTTTAAAAAAAATCATGAAAATTAGAAGTCTGCAACGAGCTCTTTGTAAAAGGAGCAGAGACGGCCATGTATCCATGCCCAGTCCTTCCTAGTCCATGTGTATGTGCAAAACTGCAAAATGCGAAAAAGTCACAGAAGACTTCACAAGACGAACTTTGGAAATTCATGACCGCGCTGAAAAGTGGGACGGGGCTTGCAGAAGTACATAGCTGTCTCAAAATAAGAGCGGCGCTGCTCTATATTTTAAATCAACTCGTACTTCAATGCCGCAACTAGGAAGTAGCGTTCATCTACACCACAAACGGAGCGCGGCGTTCGCACCAAGACCCAATCGATTCAACGTGTCAGTTTCGCGTGATGCCTACTAACTAGAAGATGCCCTGCTCATAATGTGACACTGACAGTATTTCTCTCCTACCTATCTTCCTCGGTTTGTTGTTTCCATGTACTGCAAATAAGGCAAAATGAGGGCAATTTTTTCGGAGGACTTCTTCAATGAGCACCGTACTCTTTGTAAAAAGATTTAGCAGCATTCTACCTGTTTTTTTCAGTAAAATCCTTTTTTCATTGTTATCACTGTCCTGTTTTTGAAGACGTAGCGCCACCGTGATCTTGTTTCTTTGAAGCCTATTCTGCTGTCACCCTTTTCCTCTCCTGCACATGCTCTTAGTGGTCACACTACGCACTTTCGGGTGGGTGGCGACATGGTACACTTATTGTACATGGGAAAGCGATTCTATGCATTGAGTTAGAACGCTACCTGCTTGTGCTTCCGCGTATACGAGAAGGTAATCGTCCGATGTGTCTTTAAGTGGCGCATATGAAGTTTAGCACCAAATGGACTTATGAAAAATGAGATTTCAGTCGGCCACATGAACTGTACAATATCATATGGCTGGAAATCGAAACATGAGAAGACAGTGAAAGAAATATTGAACAGGTGGTGGAAGCAATGAAAGATTAATTTG